ACCATGTGGAACCTCACCAGCCTTGGGAAGGTCTTTATCCTAAGAGCAATGGGCAAGGAAATGACCTGACCTGATGTCCACTCTTACAAGGGTCATGGGCTGCTCCGAGGACAGAAGAGGGGTGAGAGTGGGAGACCACCTAGGAAGAGGCTGTGGTCTTCCAGCAATGAGGAATCACACAGAGACAGAGGATGAACAGACTGGGGAGAGTCAGGAGGAAAATAGAACTGAATGGGGACTGAGCTGAGGGTGACAGGTGAGGGGGGAGGCGGCTGCATGGACGACAGCCAGGCTTCGGACTGGAGTATCTGGGGAACACAGGTGCTGACCACTGAAATAAGAACTCTAGGGAGGGTCGGGTTGAGGGGGAAGGGGAGAAGGACGAAGGTCATGGCCATTCTATCCCTCACATGAAGAGACTGGGGCCCCAGGTGGGGTTCACAGCAGAATTTGAAACATGGCAGAGGTCACAATCCTTGGTCCACAGCAATGGTTTTCTCTGGGGCTTCCTGCCCTGAGGGGGAGGGCGTGCTCGTGGCACTGAGTGCCTGGACCAGGGAGGCTTAACGTCTACAAAGAACTGCTGCATGTGAGACAGCGGCAGTGCCCTGTGAGAAACATGGCTCTAACGTGATTCTGAATGGATGGGCCTGTGAGAGGGCCATACATGTCCTTCGGAGTCTTTTCTGTGTGTCAGGCACACACCCTGTGGTGAAGATGGGCCGAGCTCTTCACCGACCCTTGTTGGGTTCAGTATCCCCCTTGGATGATGCCTGGCAGAGGAAGAGTTTGCATGTACCTCGCTTGTCCCTGTAGCCTCACCATGTGACCTGCACTGTCTCGCCACCAGACCGTGATCCACGCAGTTCTTTCTGCTCAGAATACCCTCCCTGCACCTTCAACTCATCCGTCCGGACTCAGACCCAGGTTGGACTTCCTGCGTCTCCTCACTAGGCCAGACTCCCTGCTGCACCTCTTGCCCCTACGCTTCTCATCTGGAATACCTATAGCTGGGGGTGGGGGATGGGCATATTCTGCACCAAACATGCAGCAGACACTCAGTAAATAGCTTACTGAAAGAATGAAAGGCATCCGGGAGCCGATCCCCAGATACTGACCACAGAGTACCCCTTCTCCCAGCTCAGAGCACCCTCAGTGCTGTGGCTCTCGAAACTGCCTCAGAGGCTGACTGCAGAAGGGCCAAAAGATATGGTTGCGTCTGAGCAGAAACATCCGAACTTTTCCACAACTCTGGGTGTAGGCTGAGCCCACACATAGCACCAAGGGAGGTAGGTGTCTTGGGACAGGGGACCCCAGGGTACCTTGGCCAGGTTGCTGACGCAGATAGTCACGATGAAACAGATCGGGTGCATGGGAGCCATAATCTCCAGGAACATAGCCACGTCGTTGAGGACATCAGCAAAAAGCCTGTGGGAAGTATCTGAGGTTAGAGGTGAGGCCTTCCTAATAGAGACCCCTGCTCCTTCTGGTCCCCGCTCACCTCCACTGCTTGGCATTACAGTCCAGCTTGCTCCTGTTGGGGAAGAGAGTCTGTTTTGCAACTGGATTTAAGGAGAAACCCCCCTGCAGGCAGTATAGGGCCACCCTTAGGCCACGGTGCGGTCTGATGGTTTCAGGAAAACACACACCCCAGCCAGACATCTGTCCCAGTACTCTGTCACTGCTGCCTGAAATGTCTCCATGAGCTGGGAAGACCTTCAGTGGCCACTAAGTGTGCCCCCCTTCCTAACCCATGACACACACACCAAGGGAAAACACTGCCTATGGCTGCTCCCCTCTTCCAGCCTTCTGTCGACACACAAGATCCCTGGGTTCCCCTGACATCTCTCCTCCTCTTCCTCCTACTTTGAGGGTACCCAGCAAGCAGTCCACATATTTTGGACTGGTAAACATGACATTTAGTGTCAACCCCCTGCATTTTATAGCTAACTACTGAGAGAAAGGACATGACTTCCCTTGAATCCCGTGGGAAGTGGGGGGTGAGGGCAAGAGAAAGAGCCAGGCTCCGACCACCAGGCCTGGCTTACTCCTGTCACACAGCACCTGGACGGCCACCTCTCCTGCCTGACCCATGCACAGACAGATGGGACTGCTTCTCCATGGCCCCAATGTGGGAGACATGGCAGCCCCAGCGCAGCGTTAGCCCTGACCCTTAGTCTGAACTCGCCTGAGGAAAAGGGGGTGCTCCTGGGTGGGGAATGGGCCACACAGCACAGGCACGCCTGGACACGTGGGCCTGGTCTAGCGCTCTGCCCAGGAAAGCAGGCTGATACCACAGGAAGAGTACAGGCTGCAAGTTCCAATCCCACCTCACTAGCTACAAGCTGTGGGACTTGGGTAACTTCCCTTGTAGGTTTGCTTCACATCTGTACAATGTACACATTCAATCCCACTCCACAAAGGTGTTATGAGAATTAAACACAACAGAGAGCTTGTGAGGCAGCTGGCACTGTTAACAGCAACAAATGTTTACCGAGTACCTATATGGTGCCATGCAATGTGTGAAGCAATCGCACAAACTATCTCACTTGATGTCACAACCACAATTAACGGCAGATACAAAACCACTGCTGGGGTTGCCCAGTATTGACTCGAGGCAGCAGGGGGCACAGACCCTCAGTCCCCATGGTGACAGTGATCCCATGTGGGAAGAATCCTGGTGGCCTGCCCAGCCCACTCCCCTCTCCCTCAGTTGAGTCTGGTGAAGCGCTGGAACCACCACATTCTTTCCGGGCCAAGGCCTGTCTCTCCAGGCTTCTCTTCCAACAAGCACACAGAGGACACGTGGTGATGGGCAGCCAGTGCCAGACCAGTGCTCCTGAAGGCAGACCTGGTCACAGCAATGGCTGTGGCCTCACTGCTAGGTGACCCGTGGCAAGCCACCTGTACTAGGCACTGTAATGAAAGGCTCCTTGGCTCTAATGATCTGCTAAGAGCCCCCTCCCCGGAGACTGGTAGGACAGAGGGGGACTGACAATGCAGCCAGGGCTGAGACAGGCAGGACCATGGTCTGTGGGGCGTGGCCTGAAGTCTCTGACCAGGAGACAAACTCACCCCTTCCACCAGGCAAAGACAATACGGCCCAGCATGCCAGTTGAATCTGGGGAGAGAGTCATCGGTGAGGAAAGAACACAGAAGAGGCCTGGCACTGAAATGGCTGATTCACTTGGGTCGCTGAGCTTGGGAGCTCCGTCTGGTACAGAAGTTCTAGACAGGCCCAGGGGGGTCATGGGGTCAGACATGCCTAGACTCAGCTCTTCAGTTTGTACCCAGGAGACACGAACCAGAAACAGTCTGCAGCATTGTTCATAACAGCAGAAGACTGGGGCTAATGCATACGCGCATCAGCAGAGCGCATAAACAATGCGGATACTTTTTCACATAGTGGTCTAGCTGTGGAAACCAATGGGCTCATATCAGCACCGATGAATCCCAGGATCTTATGTGAAAGTAAGTCACGAAGACTGTCTACAGCACAATATACGTCTCATAAAGCCCTAAAACAACCCCAACTAAACAATGCAGTGTATAGGTGTATATGTAACTACATGGTAAAACCACTAAAAAATACCAGAAAATCCTGTGTGGGAAGTTCAGGGGTTATTGTTGACATTCTGGCTGGATAGCAGGTTCACAGGTGGTCATGAGAATACAAATAAATAAATAGGATTTGAACTGCAGGTTGGTGACAGCTGGGGGTGGGGCAGAGGGAGAGGCCTCCTCAGGCAAGAGAGCCAGAAAAGTCTCTGAAATCAGCTAGACCTTTATTGACACAACAAATGCTTACTGGCTACCTACAGTGTGCCAGGCACTAAGTGAGACCTGGGCGTTGCCACAGTGACCTACAAAGTCACGATTCCAGGCTCAAATCCAGTGTAAAAGCAAACAGCAAGCAGCATGAACACTGATTGAGACCAAGAATCAGGTAGTTAACTGTGGTCTGTGGGTTTCCACTCCATTCCTGTAAACCTGTAAATAAAGTTTTATTGGACAGCTGTGCCCCTTCATTTATAGTGTCAAAAAAAAAAAAAGGAGCACTTTAAAACGGAGCCAGTGCTGCCATGTCAGAGGAACTGCCTCATATCTCTGGAATGTTAAAACAGGGCAAAGTAACCCTGGACAGGGACTAAAGCAGCCTGGGCCCCCAAAGAACTGTTTGCAAAGATAAGAACAGAGGTGTTTTGACTACCTGCTTGAAAATTAAAAACACTGTTTAGAGTCAGTGTCACCGTGCTGTTATCTGCACTAAAAATAAATCTGGATTCCTAGCTTTTCTGAAAGAACCTGCAGACATGGCAACATGGGGCCTGCCTCCCCTTCCTACTGCAGGAGGCTGGGGCTGAACAGCAGTCTCATTCAGCGCATGTATGTGCAGACCTCTCCCCTCCAGTCTCTGCTTCTCCATCTGTCTCCTGGGTACCCCTGGAGGTCACACCCACCAGGCCGGCTGTATTGGCCTCATCCCTCTATCACATACCTTACTCTCCTCCCTTCACCTACATTTTATCCTACACATAATTTCCACTGTTCCATTTAAGAGTCTTGAATTGGATCAGCTTGGTGCCTCTGAACATGTCAAGATTGCTTTTACTGGTTGAGAGACAGCTCACTGGGCCAGAATCTTATTTTTCTTCACTTTGCACACTTGTAAGCACACAGGTATATGTCCTGCACACAAGGGCTGCATGGCAGATTGGGGATCCACTCTATCTTTCATCAGAGGCAGTCGCTGGGCCCTTGTCAGAACCTGTGACAAGGCTCTAGAGCAGCGGTTCTCAACCTGTGGGTTGCGACCCCTTTGGGGGTCGAATGACCCTTTCACAGGGGTCGCCTAAGACCATCAGAAAATAAAAAGATATTTACCTTACGATTCATAACAGTAGCAAAATTAGTTATAGAGTAGCAACGAAAATAATTTTATGGTTGGGGGTCACCACAACATGAGGAACTGTATTAAGGGGTCGCGGCATTAGGAAGGTTGAGAACTGCTGCTCTAGAGAATACAGCCTCCCTATTCTCTAAGTCAACGCTGTCACTAGACAAGGAAACTTCATTTCCATCTGCTCTTCCCTGCCTCATTTACAATTAGCTGAGCTGTAAGATCTAGAAACTTGAGTCCTAGTAAAGGGTCAGCTGTCCAGAAATTGCACTTAGCTCTACTCTAAAATCCTAACTGGCAAAAAAGTGTGGTGTTGAGAGTGGGATACAGGAGTCAGTTAGTTTGGGTCCAAATCCTGGCCCTATGTTATGTTAGGTAAGGTACTAAACCCCTCTGTGCCTCAGCTTCCCCCTCTGAGAAATGTATTAATAATGGATTTACCTAATACAGATGCTGCAGAGATTATGTTACTTATTACATGTAAGTGTGCAAAATGCCTGGCATATAGTAGACTGTCAAAATATTAGCTAATAGTATTACTATTGTTAGTATGACAAGTAACATCACATTCCATTAAGAGAACTGTAACTGAAAATGTCCACATCAAAAAACCCCAAGGGAGTTTATGTAAAGCTCTGCATACAAATTTCCCATGTTTGATGGAAATGAGTTTGTAAAATTCTTTCTAATTAAGAGGACTTCTTTTAATAACAACAGACTCTAAAGTAACTATTTTTTCATATCTTAAAACGGTCTTATTTTTTTTTATAATCTCAAGACACCAGCAGCATACTGGTGCTAAGACTAGGGAGCTTAGAAACGAGATGAAAACATCAACTACTGACAGCCTCCTGCTGCGCTCCAGATACTGAACCAACAGGAGAGCAAAGGAAAAGATCCAAATGGAGCAGTTTGGTGGAATGAGAACGTACTCCCAACTACACCTCCTGGGTTTAGGTCCAGGCCCTACAACTTACTGGATGTGACCCTGGGCAAGTTACGTTTTCTGGGCCTCAGTTTTCTCATCTATAAAATGAAGACAGTGATAATCCCTATCTCAGAGCTACTGTGAAGCTGGGTCAGTACCCTCCCCCACTGCTATGCACCGTCAGAGAAAGAACCTCTTCCCAGGCTAACTCCCACTTGGCTGGCTTCCTCAGTCCTAATGGTAAGGGTGTCAGCGAGCACCTCGATTCTCCAACAGACCCAGGGAGGCTCATCAGAGACGTGGCCAGGCTGACGCCGGGAGCAGAGCTAGCCTCACTTGGGGTCTAATTTAAATCCTCCCTGGGAACAGCTGTGAAATGCCGAGTACAATGGAGATGTGAGGCACGTGGCAGTTTCCCTTCTGTGGCAGGGCCATGGTAGCAAACTGGATCTTTATTTATCAATGGTTTTTCAAAACGCTATGCATACTAAACAAATGGTTACTACAGTTATTATTTATAGCACCGTCCAGTATCCCAGGGAATCTGAAATTCCTTTCATTCTTCCCAGAATCTCCTCTTTTCTACTCAGGAGACCAACTATAATTTTCCCCCCCCCACTTTCTAACCAGTTTCCCACACCCCAGGCAGCGGGCACGTTTATTCAGTAACCCCACTCTCATGCAATTCTCCACGGAGACCAGGGTTAAGGGAGGGGAAGGCTAACTAGGGGACCTGGGCTCCAGGTGACTTAGGGACTCTGAACAGTACATAGCGGCTGCAAGGCTGGGGCGCGGGCATTCCAGCAGCCGGCGGCTAACTAATCACTGTATAAAGTCAATACAAATCTTTCAGATTTACTCAGCTGAATTTTGTTTTCTTCATTAACAGGGTCCAAGGCACTGGGGAGACGTGGCTCCCAGACCTCATCAGGAACGGGTCCGTAAATATACACGTCACGGCCCAGAACACGGGGAGAGGGGTAAGGAGGGGCTGGGCTTCTCAGTCAGAGGAAAAGAAGAAGTCAGGGAGACGGCAGGGCTGAGAGTAGCGACAGGTCGGGCTCCAGGGGCCCGGCTTACCTTTCACCAGCCAGGTGGCTGTGGCCGCTGAAACGGAGGCCTGAGCGTTCCCCACCCCTATGCCCAGCAAGACCGCGTGGGTGGCCAGGGAGCCAGAGAGGCTGGAGGCAAAGGCCTAGAGAAGAAGGGAGTCGGGTGAAGAGTGGGCGAGGGAGCACGGGGGTGGGAGTGGGTGAGGGGTGGGGGTGGTCTGGGTTCTACTGTCAGCGCTCCTCTGTGTGTGACCCAGGACTTGTCACGGAGCCGCTTTGGGCCTCAGTACCGTCTGTAAACCGGGAGCAGGTGGCCCGCGTTGCCCGCTGACCTGCACGGAGTCCCAAAGCTGGTAGGGCAGGTAGTCAGGGCTGACGCTCTCTGGGAAGCCCTGGGGCAGGAACACGGTCAGGAGCCGCGAGACGAGCAGTGAGGCGGCCCCCGGAGGCCCCCGTTCGCCCCCGTCTCGTCCTTCAGGCTTCACTGCAAAGGCCCCAGAGAAACCCCACCAGCGCCCCCCCCAGGCTTCCCACTGCAGACGCCCATCCGCGGCGGCGCAGCAGCTCCGGGCCGCCCGGGAGCCGAACTGCTCGGAGCACAGCGGAGCCGCAGGCCCAGTGCGCTCGGCCATTCCGCCTCACTCCTTCAGTCTCGGGCGACACGCAACGTGGCCCGGGCGCATATCCGGCGCCGCTACGGCGGCTGCAGAGGCACAATCTTCCTCTGCGGCGTCCGCCTTTGAGAATCCCGGAAGCCGAGTATCCCTCTCGGATCCCCGACCCCGTCGCCGACAGCCCAGGGTCAGTCCCGGCCCTCGTTCTTTGTAGCATTTCTAGCTGGGCCGCTGGAGGAGTCGGGGCACCTGCACCCCTGTTACCCGCAACCTCCAGTTATGGGGAGAAGGAAAGAGCGTCCCGGGGAATCTGTGTCCCAGACCCGGGACCGTCTGTCCTTCCTCCTCCCGCCGCGCCCCAAGAGCGTCAGCTATGGGAGGACAGCTAACATTGATCTCAGCGCTGATTTATTCCCCGGGTCTTGGAGTGGTCCCCGGCCCAGGGCAGGTGCCACATACCTACCTACCTGTGGAATGAACAGATTCGTTTTCTAAATAGCCTTTGTAAGAAAGGTATTATTTTATTCCTCCTTTACCTACAAAGTTGAGGCTTACGTGTGTGAAGTGACTTCAAGTTGACAGAACTGAAAATGGCAAAAGCATTCATTTAGTCATTCAACAAATATTTAGTGAGCAGCTGCTTCTCTTTTTTAAAAGATTTTACTGGGGAATTGGGGAGGGGAACAGACAAGTTGCTGTCCTTTTGTTCTTCAGTCTAGTTGTGGAGGACTTCACTTCACTGGCCCATGTTGGTATTATCATTGCGTTCTTCCTGGGTGTGGCAGATTGGTCACCGATCTCTGGACTGCTGCTCACTGTGGCTTTTGGCAGCTCACATTGGCTGCTGGTCACTCACAGTAGCTTATGGCAGCCCACTGCAGCAGGGGCTGCAGCCTATGCAGCCTGCGACTCACAGCAGCCCAGATCCAGGTCAGCTTTCACATCTTAGCTGCAGAGGGAGCAGTGCAACTGGCCCTCATGTGGGATCCGAACTGGGGCCCTGCTACTCAGAGCTGGCATCCCAAGCTAGCTCTTAACCAATGTGTCACTTGGCTGGACCGAGCAGCTGCTTCTCTTATAGGCACTGAGGCAAGATTTAAATTTGAGGCTAATGACTTTAGAACTACACTATTCTTTCTTTTTTTAATTTTGTATTCTTTTAAAGAATTACTAAATAATAGAAGGTTACATTCTTGCTGTAAAATAATTCAAACAATAATATAGAAATTTATCCCTCTTTACATTTCCTAACAAATACCAGTCAATCCCCAGAAGTAAATATTGTTTACCATTTTACACAGAAAGAGGGAGGGGGGAGAGAGAGAGAGAGAGGTGTGTGTGTGGAGGGAGGAAGAGATATTTACATGCAACTCCCACTCTCATGCCCCCCACTTGCAGTCTGGGGTAGCCCTTTCTACTATATGTTAAGATTTTTTTTTTTTTTTTTTTAGCTGAGCCCTCCTGACACCTGTTGGCAGCTCAGCGGCTGCTCAGCTCGGGCCCGGAATCAAACCGCTGTTGCTCAGAGCTCAAACTCTTGAGCGAGCTCTTAACCAACGCCCTTTCTACTATAGTTCACCTCACATTTCCCTGAGATCTTTTCATATTAGTGCATATGTATCTACCTCATTTATTTTTCCATGTCATGCCATAGTATGAATGTGCCATAGTTTCTTTAAAGATTCCTCCATATTAATGGACCTTTAGGTTGATTTTGCTTTTTCATTATTACAAACTGGTATGGTAAATTCCTTGTATAGGCCTTTTGTGCGTTGAATATGAATATTTCTTTAAAATAGAGACAAAGCAGAATCATTGGATTGAAAGGTATGTATACTTTAATTAGAACAAGTATTGTCAAATTATTCTTCTAAAAAGTGTTATCAATGTACATTTCTATTAACAGTGTATGAAAATGCTCATTATAATCAAGATACACATCATTTGAAAAAAGTTTCTTTGGACATCTTTGCATTTTCATCTCTACTCTCGTATTCAGATCCCAGGTAAACACTGACCTGCTTTCTGTCACTAGAGATTATTTTTGTCTAGTCTAGGATTTTATAGGAATAAAATTATACTGTATACGGTCTCTTATGTCTGGCTTCTTTGGCTCAGCATAATGGTTTTGAGATTCACTCATGTCATGAGTACCATTAGTCTGTTCCTTTTTATTGCTGAATAGTATTCCACTGTATGATTGTACCACAATTTGTATATGCACTCACTGGTTATTGGACATTTAGGTTGTTTCCAGATTTGGGTTATTATGAATAAAACTGCCGTAAACATTTACATGTAAGTATTTTTGTAGACATGTATGTTAATTTCTCATGAACTCCACCTTGGAGTGGCATTGCTGAGTTGTGTGATAAGTGTATGTTGAACTTTATAAATAATTGCCAAATGGTTTTTCAAAGTGGTTTTACCATTTTACACTCTCACTAGCAATGCATGAGAATTCTAGTTGTCCCATATCCTCACTGACATGTAAATAGTCTTTTAAAATTTTAGTCCCTGTAGTCGGGATGTAGTTGTATCACATTGTAGCTTTAATTTGCATTTCCCTGGTAAGTGATAATGTTGAATGTCTTTGCATGTGCTTATGGTACTTGTATATCTTATTTGTGAAGTGTCTGTCTGTTCCAATCTTATGGCTATTTTTAAAACTGGGTTGTCTTAACTATTGAACTATAAGACTTTGTTATCAATTCTGTATACACATTCTTTGTCAGGTTGTATTGCAATTATTTCTCCTAGTGGTAACAAATATTTTCTATCCTAGAAAAGTGAAAACATATTTACACAAAAATCTGTACACAATACTTATAGCAGCTCTATTCATGCTTGCCCCAAACTGCAAACCATCCAGACGTCTGTCAGTGGGTGAATGAGTAAACAGACTATGGGGTATCCATGTGGGGTACACTCAGCAATGAAAGAAGCTGGTCTTCAGGGTTACGTACTGCATGATTCCTCAAAAACACTGAAATGTAGTCATGGAGGACAGATCAGTACTCAGCAGGGTTTAGGGATGGTACTGGGCATGACTGTAAAGGGGGAGCATGAAGGAGTTTTTGGGGTGATGGAAATGTTCTGTATCCCGATTGTGGTAGTAGCTACATGAACCTATAAATTAAAATTCATAAACTATACACCAAAAGGAGGTCATTTTTGCTGTATGTTAATTAAGAAAATGCTATAAACAAAAAAGCAAATCAACAAACATCTATGAATGTATAGGTGCCTGTGAATGTTGCTTTTTGAGTGCAGAAAGATGTGACAGGAAATAAACACATCTTTAATGCTGGTTACTTTGTAGGGGGAGGGAGCAAAAATGATCACCTTTTTTCAGTGTACATTTTTTTGTATTGTTTCATTTATCTCAGTATGTAGTGATTCTTAAATTTGAGAAACATTAGGGAAATATTTAAAAAGAGAAGAGGTGTTTCTGCTTTGTCAATGATATATTAGTGAACAAGACAAATGTCTCCATTCTTGCAGAGCACAGCCTGGTGGAGTTCAGTCCTCACGCCTTACAGATGGCTCATCTGCAAAATGTGACTACCTGTGTAATAGGATTTTTAATAAGGATAACTACCTTAGTAGATGCTTGAAACAGTGCCTGGCATAAATGATAAGGATAATGTAAGCTGCTATTAATATATCATCTATGAGTTGGGATAACAATCATAATTGCCATCACGTTGTGATGATTTAAAAGTGCCTGTCATGAAAACGGGGTTAGGTAATGCTAGTTTTGTTAGCATTTGGTGTCTGGATACTGGGATGCAGGGCAGAGGTCAAGCGTCTGTCCCTGGTTTGGTTTTCTGTGTCCCCCCACTTATCTGTTTTTTCGTGGCCTTGCTATCTTTCTAACTTCAGGGAAGCCTCTCCCTCCTTCCCCTCCCATGGTTGATCTATCACCCTCCTTCAGACCCTGATGCAGGGCGTTTCCTTCTTAGGCTGACACTTGACACGTTACCTACATGTAGTTTGGCAGAGAAGGACATACATAACCTGAAACGTGTGGGTGAGACATACACAGCACCTTTGGACCTGAAGGTGAGCCAACTTGGGAGAATGTGGTTTCATATCAGGATGGGATTTGAAAGGTATCTGAGGGAAGTGGTCCTGCAGGAGTCTTTAAGGGGTGAGGAAATGGGGAGAAATACCCAGGGATGCGGGAAAAAGATACTTAAATTCTCTTTCTCTATACAGGCAGATGGCCCTTCTTCAGGCTAATAGAGATCTCATTTCCACAGGAGTGAAGGAATTTAATGTTTTGCTTAATCAGCAGGTAAGCCCAGACATTCTGATTCAAAGAACAGGCCTAGTGTGGTGGGTGGTGGGTGAGGGCAGAGAAGGGAGAATAATCTGGAGCTGGGAGAGTGATGGTGGAATTGATAGAAACTAGAGATAGGGAATACAAACAGAAAAAAGAGGATGTCCAGGTTTGTGGGTTATTCTTGAATCACACTGCTGACCACAGTCTCCCTTCCCCCTCCAGGTCTTCACTGACCCTCCCATCTCTGAAGAAGCCATGGTGACTGTACTGGACGACTGGGTGAACTTCTACACCAACTATTACAGGCAGCACGTGGTGGGAGAAGAGCAAGAGCGGGACAGGGCTTTGCAGGAACTTCGGCAACAGCTGAGCACGTTGTGCGCCCCTTTCCTGGACAAATATAGGGCCTTCCTGAAGTCTCTGAGCGCCTAAACTTTTCTCCTAGCCCATAGACCTAGGCCTACATCTCTGAGAAACCCGTAAATTTTGTCTCTGAATTCTTCAAGTCCTCAGGCTCTGCCCCTTCTTGGTGTTACTTTACCTTGACACCTCAATAAAGACCCACATTGGTTTTGCTGGTCTTCCCGGCTCTTCTTTGATCGTCGGTCCCTGACTTGGCCCCTTTTCCTTCAGACCTACCTGTAAAAGCGGCTCTGGCCTCTGGTGTCTCCATCTAAGCCTGTGCCCCTTCCTGCCGCAGGGCGCGGAGAGAGAGCAAGGCGGCTCCTTGCACTGCTCGGGCTCTCCCGGCGCCAGTCGTGGAGCTTCTCTGACGCCGCCTCCAAGTGTCTCAGCTTCGTTGAGAGCCAGCAATAGCCGCGGCTGCAGCGCCGACAAGCGCCGGTTCACCGCAGGCTCAGGCGCCCGGGTCTCTGCCCTCTACGCACTCGCCTCTCCTCCCGCCCGCCTTCCCTCCGCGTGCCCCACCTCCGGTGGGCGCCTGGCCTCCTCCGCCCTGCTGTCCTGTCGGCTGAGCGGCACGCGGGGAACTTTCGCGTCTGCTGCGAGAGCAGGGCGGCTGCCTTCGGGCTGCCTAGGACCCTCGGTCTGAAACCAAGTGCAGCGTGCTCTGCGCGGCTCTCCCGCCGAGGAAATGGTAGGTGCGGGCTGACCCCACACCCACGCCCCCCGTCGGCTGTGCCCGCCCCGCGCGCACCGCGGCCCCTTCCCATGTGGCGTCCCGCGGATTTGGGCAAACTCCGCACCACCAGCCCGCGGCCAGTAGGCCGCCTTAGGGGCGGGGCTGTCGCGCAGGGGCGCCCCGCGGCGCACCTGAGTGTCTCTGGCCAGGGGGAGCCTCGGAGCTCTCATGGTTCCCCGGACGCGGAGCGTGAAGGCGGAGGGCCGAGAGGGCCCCGCGGCGGACCGCGCAAAGCCAGCTCCCGCGGGTCCGGGGGAGCCAGGGTGAGGCGTCGCCCGGGCTTGCGCCCGGGGACGCCGAAGCGGTGCCCAGCGCATAGCCTGGGCCTTGAGGATTGGTTAGGGCGCACATGAGGGGATCCCAAAAGTTCTGAGAGACCCTGCTCCACCCCTTCAGGGGCTGGGAGCGGACAGCGGGCTCAGCGGGAGCTGGAAACAGAGGACGAGCCGACCGTGCCAGGTGGAACCGAGTCCTCGACGCCTCAGGGGCCACTGAGGCGTGGAGGCGCAGGTGTAGAGGGCCAAACGGAACGGCTTCAGAGCGGCCCATGTCCTCCCAAAGATGGTAGTTCGCAGAGCGGGGGTCGCTCCGACGCGTGCGTTGCCCGGGGAACTGTGAGGAGCCCGCGGAGGCCCACCCCGAAACGGGGCAAGGGGCAGAGCTCTCGGCTTGCAGGGTCCCAGAGCGGGACGACCCGGGGCTGCGGGGCTCCGGAGTGGTGGCTGTGTTAACGCCACCCTCAGGTAGGGAGAAGGCCTGGGGATTGCCTGGAGGAATGCCTTTCCCTTAGCAGTGGGGGCGGGGCTGGGGGATACCGGACTCCGCGGGGTGCGGGGTGGAGCTGGGAATTCTGAGGTGTCTGTGGCTCTAATACCCCTTTTCCTTGCAGGCGAGCCTCTGGGGCTCGGAGCAGAGCGCACACTGGCGGTGCCAGTGCACGCTGACGCCCAGGGCCTCTGGGGGTCCCATGGTGTTGGCAGTGACAGCCCAGGTGGGAGCTTGGGCCCTCAGAGCCGCCCTGGCTGTACTCCAGGCTTCCCGGGAGGCAGGGAGGCGGACCTTGGGGGCCCTGGTCCCCAAGGCAGAGGGAGTCCCTTGTGGAGCTCCTGCTTGGGACCTGCCTCTAATTCGGAGACTTGGCCGGCCTGATTGAAACCTCCTTCATGGCGCTCAGCAACTGCAGAGGCTGGTGAGTATGCACGTCTTCTCCTTTCTGTCTATGACCCTTGCTTGGGCCTCAGACGCCATTGGCATCCCCTCGGGGCAAGGCCTGCACTGAGGACTACCTCTGCTTAGGGAAAACTGAGCATCTACTCAAGGGTCTGCCTGGAAGGCAAGTTATTCTTATGGGCCGGAAGGGGGTGGGGATTTATGGAGGCTGGGAACCCTGGTCCCTGAAGTGCTGAACAAGTAGGCAGCCCACGTGTGTCTCCTTTAGGCCTGCAAACCCAGGTCTTGTCTTGCATCCAGGTGTGTGTATGTCTGCAGGAGTGTGTGCACAAGTGTTTTGGAATGTCGCTGTGTGCTCATGTCTGGGTACCTGTGCACCAGTAAACATGTGAATGTGCCATTGTGAGTCTTGTGTCCTTGTAGGTTTGTGTAGGTTTCTGCTCACTAGTGTGTCAGTGTCTACTGAGTTGTGACCCTGTGCATTTTAGTCTGTGTGATGTGTGTGCAGAGGTGTGCTGGCAGTGGGTCTTATTGTTTCTGTGTGTATGGGTGGTGCCAGCCCAGGAGGCAGGCTATGGCACTGAAATACCCAGTTATTCCTCTGCCACCTGGCTGCCTGAGAGCCATGGTTTCTATGCTGTTGCTTTTAATGCAGGTGTTACCGTGTTGTGATGATTTCCTTGGCTTTTGTTTTCTCGAGGGAAAGAATTCAGCTGAGAGACAGCGTTTTGTGCAGGTATAGGGTAGTAAGAAGTTTGTTAGTAATGGCAGATACACTCTAAGATGTGGAGCAGACCGATCCCAAGAGGGGGAAAGGGGTTGATTTCTATGGGTAGAATTGCCTCCCCCTCTCCCTTATCCCTCTCTCTCTCCTGCTGAGGTGCCCAGTTTTCCCTTTTGCTTCTCAAGGGCAGTGTCTGTCAATGTTCTTTTTATGGTTTGTTTGAGAAATTCATCAAATGGTCCTGATAAACAGGTGTATACTCTGATGAGCGGGATGTCTCCCTTCCTTCTCTGGCTTTTAACAACATATCCCTTTGATTTAGGGGCATGTGTGAGCCTGGAGTCCTGCTGGGCCAGTGAGACATCGGTGCCCTAAGTGAAAGCAGCTGTAAGGGGTCTGGACCCAAGTAGGAACTGCAGCAAGGGGCTTTCTAACTGGAGCTGGGTCTCTCCTTCTCCTGTTCATTTCTGCCTATCTACCCACCCTATGATTCCCCGCTCAAGAGTTTGAGTCCCTGAATTCTTTTGTGAAAGGAGATTATGTGTCTCTTCTGTATCTACTTCCTGCTGAAAGGGGGCGATGTCTAGTCAGGGTCTCATCCTCTTGCTGTCCGTCAGGAGAAAGGAGGTGTTGTCCCCAAAGTCCTATGGCCCGTTTGGCTCGGGGGTGAGTGATGTTATGAATAGTGATTGATATGCCCTGAGGGCCTACGTGGGTAGCCAGGGTTATAGGAGGGTGGTGGTAGACCCTCGTCTGGTGACTTTTCATTGGGCATTTTGAGGAGGACCTCAAAGAAATAAATACCTGGGGTGGGGGCGGATACAAGCTTGATGTGGAGAGGAGTTAAACCACGTGGTCAGACCTGAGCCCCAAGGAGGGGCTATGTTGCATTGGGGAGATAAAAAGATGAAAGGCCTCCCCTCAGCCCAGCATCCCTGGGCCCCATCGGTACCCTTCCTGCTCTTGGAGGGTTGTCTGTCCCTCCCAGTATGTGCCCTGATTCCTGGGACTCGTATTTTGTTCACCATAGTGAGCTTTGTGACTAGCTGGACACCATAGGTAGTATTTGGAGTGTCCCTTCTAGAACTGTCAAATGTAATGGGCTAATGGGGGACTGGACAGATGAGAGGTAGTCTCCCTCTCAACATGTACAGAAGTGACCAGGGCTAGACATGGATGTACAGTTGAGGGTTCTGACCCTAGTTGTATCAGACCGATGAACTAGTGGGGTGAGGTGAATGCAGCCCAGTTGTGTAGCTGAGGGGTCTAATGTGACCATAAGAGAGTCCTCTTGGGGAAAGCTAAGACTGAGATTAAAAGGCACAGGCTGAAACTGGGGAGAGGAGCGGTGTTTCTGGACTGTGTGTGGCATGTCCAGCAGTTAGAGCAGCCATATCCCTTTGCAGTTACGTTGGAAAAGTTTATAAGGGTGTTAGTCTCCCATTGCCCCCAAAAGGGCTGGGAATGTAATAGAACTAGGAGGATGAATATCATGTTGATGATTTATTCTGATTTTATAAGAAACAATTATTTAGTGGGGTCCCAGGAGGGACACAGGTGAAAAAAAATAAGAATAAAGATTAAGAGAGGGCCGGCCGAGTGGCTCAGTTGGTTAAGAGCTTGCTTGGGAGCACCAGCTCTGAGCAGCAGGTCTGTGGTTCGGATCCCACATTAAGGTCCAGTGATGCTGCGCCCTCTACAGCTAAGATGATGAACAACAGCTCTACCTGGAGCTGGGCTGCTGTGAGTCGCAGGTGACTGCGTAAGCTGCAGCGTGCTGCCATGAGCTATATGAGTGGCTGGCGGCAGCCAGCGTGAGTGGCTGGCAGCTGGCGAGAGCTGCTGTGAGCCGCAGTGAGTGGCCGACCAATGACCAGCGACCGATTGCCTCACCCAGGAAGAGCACAATGATCATACCAACGTGGGCCAGTGAAGCGACGTCCTCCACAACTAGACTGAAGAACAAAATAGCAACTTGTCTACCTGTCTGTTCCCCTTCCTTGATTCCCCAATGCTGTTCCCCTCCCCCAATTCCCCAATAAAATCTTAAAAAAAAAAAAAAAATAAAAGAAAAAAATCAGCCAGTAGATAGCAGTCGGGGTTTAGTCATCAGTACTTGGTGGAACTTTCTCTTTTTTTTAAAGATTTTATTGGGGAATTGGGGGAGGGGAACAGTGCTGGGGAATCGGGGAAGGGGAACAGACAAGTTGCTGTCCTTTTTGTTCTTCAGTCTAGTTGTGGAGGACGTCGCTTCACTGGCCCATGTTGGTATTATCATTGCGCTCTTCCTGGATGAGGCAGATCAGTTGCAGGCCTCTGGACGGCCACTTACAGCGGCTCTTGGCAGCTCACACCAGCTTCCGGCTACTTACGCTGGCTGCCGGCCACACACGGTAGCTTATGGCAGTTCACTGCAGCAGGGGCTGCAGCCTACACTGTCGCCGGCGACTCATGGCAGTCCACCTGTGGGGACCCAGGCCCAGACCCTAGGCTAAGCAAGTTCATTTTGGAGAGTAGCCCCGCCCAGAGGAATGAAAGAAACTTCTGCTTCAGCAAAAATTAACAAGGTATCTTGTCAAGAGAATAGAAAAAGATAAGCTAGGTATGTTTTATAGCTTGTTAGGGAAAGATAAGTTAGGTATGTTTTATAGCTTGTTAGGGAAAGATAAGTTAGGTATGTTTTATAGCTTGTTAGGGAAAGATAAGTTAGGTATGTTGTTAGGAAAAGGTAATTAAGTCCTGATTTATAGTTCGTTAGAAGAAAATAAACTTGCCAAGTTTTATGGCTAGCTAGAAGATAAGTTAACTCTGTTTGTTAAAATTTTTTCTCTTTTTACTCACTAACCACTTTTTTTTGCTTCTGTATCCAGCTTCAGCTATAAATTCCCCACCCGCCAGGACTTGGGGCCGTCTCTCTCTCTCTCTTAAATGAGACGGACACCAAGCTTGGTAAATAAAGCCTTTGGAACGAAAACTCTTTGTCTCAGTTCTTGTTAACGACCTGCTCCTCAACATTTTCTGGAGGCGCCAGCGAGATTGGACTGCCATCTCGCATCCACCTTCAGGGCTCGCCGACTTTTTGTCAGGGGGCGGCCGACCTGAAGAAGTTCCAGCACCCTGACAATTAAGTCGGCCTCCCCGGGAGTGGAGTTTGGGTTCTGCAGCAGTCCCCTTCGTTCCAAAGACTTTATGCGGGAAATCCTTCGAAGGTAAGAGGTCTCTTTGGCCTCATCTGGTCTGGGATCGCAATTTTTGGGTGAACTTCAAGGGAGCCGGACGCGGCTTTCGCCCTTAAGTTCGGGGGGACCCTGCGATGGCAGCGAGTCTCCCACTGGTTTGGGTCAGATTTGAGTAGCGTTGTGTTCCGTGACTCCTGGTCCTCCCCTCTGGATTACTGGAGGGGGTCTGGCTGTCTCTCTCTCTGTTTTGGCGCCGTGTTCGTCTTTGTTCTCCTTCTAATCGTCTAGTCTCTCACTAAGTAACCTGTTTGATGTCTCTCCCTTCACCGTCTAATTTTTGTTCTTGAGAGATGGGTAACTCTCAGTCCCTCCCCTCTTCTCCTTTGGGATGCATCTTAAGTCATTTCCGTGACATTTATCCACAGGAAAGAGAAGCAGAATATGGCATGCGTTTCTCCCGGAGCCGTCTCCGAACTTTCTGTGAAACTGACTAGCCCACATTCAATATCGGGTGGCCCCCCGCTGGCACCTTTGATAGGGCCATTACTCAGGCCATCTGGGACATCAGCCTGGGACGTCCAGGCCACCCTGACCAGTTCCCTTATATCGACATTTGGAAATAATTAATTCAGAATCCACCTAAATGGTTAACTTCCTGTACCATCAGGACCCCCTCTCTTGGAGCGGTGCTAGTTGCGCCAGTCCCAGGGCTCCTCGCGCCTAAATCTAAAAACCCTCCACCAGTTTTACAAGAAATGCCCGAGGACCCTCCGGAGCCACAGCTTCTGCTGCCTCCGGCGTCCCTTCCCCCACCGCTTCCTCCATACCCTCCCCCTACCCCCGCTCCCATCTACCCTCCACTTCCCGAACCCTTTCCCGACTCCACCGTACCTGAGCCCCCTGCCTCCTCCAAAGCACTCCCTCCCTTATCGCCTTCGCTTACGAGAAGGGGATCTCCTTATGCATTCACTGGCGGGGAGTCCCAGTCCCCTGCTCCATCAGTCTCTGAACTCCCTGGACCTGCGGCTATTTTGCCTTTGCGCCAGATACAGCCTGGGGGGAGCTTTATTTATGTCCCTTTCACCACCACTGATCTATACAATTGGAAACATCAGAATCCTCCTTTTTCAGAGAAGCCTCAGGCCTTAATTTCTCTTTTGGAGTCCGTTTTCCGGACCCATATACCCACATGGGATGATTACCAACAGCTCCTCCAAACCCTATTTACCTCCGAGGAGCGCGAGCGCATTTTGCAGGAGGCCCGCAAAGTCGCTCTCGGACCAGGATCAGACATCAATGACCCCATGAATTCTGACAGGCTCCAACGCCTAGTTCCAACCCAGCGACCAGACTGGGATCCCACTACGGATGCCGGTAAGGGGAGCCTGGACACTTATCACCAGTATCTTTTGGGGGGACTCCGATCAGCGGCTAGAAAGCCCACTAATCTGACCAAGGTAGGAGAGGTTGTTCAGGGTAAAACAGAGTCCCCC